TAAATATATATATATATATATATATATATATATATATATATATATATATATATATATATATATATATATATATATATATATATATATATATATATATATATATATATATATATATATATATATATATATATATATATATATATATATATATATATATATATATATATATATATATATAATTAACTTGAGATGCAAAGTTAATTTAATGAGATCTATTTTAACTTTTTTTAATAAATTATATAAATGTTTTTTAAGTGCAGATAAATTATTTAAATAATTAAAAAAATATAAATATATAAATGTTAGAACGATACAGAACACTGTGTGTAAATTAGTTGCATTATATTAGTAATTTTTGAGAATGTCTTATTGCATTCTAGGTGTTTCTAATGCACCATGTGAATTTTCACATATGCTCTATGATTTCGGAGATACATATCCAGACGCACACAACAAACACTCAACAAAGACCATTATGAGTTACGCCATTTCTTTTGGTTTAATTTATTCCAAAGATGCATATCCGATTTTATTCAGTAGTTACATCTCCGGACGCATCAAACACACGCTCAACAAATGTCATTTTGAGCTACGCCCTTTATCTTGGTTTAATTTATTTTGGAGATTCATCTCCGAAATAATTCCATAGTTACATCTCTGAATTCACACCAAAAACAGATTCAACCGATCCAAAATAAAACTAACATTCATAACATAAAATGGTCATTACAATGATAATTTCAATAAAAAAATTCAATATTATATTTCAATATCTTGGCGGACGCTTGCACATCTCCAGGATATATTCGACCGATCTTTGTAACATCACTTACAACTTGAGCGAAACTTTCTCATCGAGTCCGAAAAACATATCCCAGACAACCCTAACATCGACTTGCGTCTTGAGCTCAAACTTGGTGAACTGAATATTCCATTCATTGTCAATCGAAGGTGAACGGTACTTGAGCTTCACAATCTTTCGATTGTCTATGTAAGGTAGGAGATTGTGGATTTCGTTTTTGATATCTTTGAGGGAGGTGAATCCGGGTGTAGAGTCGGAGAAGGACACGTTTGCGACATACTAATATATTTTTATTTGTGACATTTGAGACATTTTGTGTTTGTGTGAAATATAATACTAGAGCACCTAAACTTATAGAAGGTAAAAATCAATTTGGACTATTTATTAACCGACACTTTGATTCTGGAGATATATCTCTGAAAATGCACCCTATTATCTTGTTTCGGATATGCATTTCCGAAACTTCTTTTGAACCAGTAACACAACAAAACCATATACATAACCATTTTTTTCCAATTACGAAAACAGAAATGTTGTAACGGGGAATGTAAAAACAACATAAAGACAAAATATGAAGAAAATGTAAATTTATAACACTTCATTTATATTGAGACACAATTACATGTAATTATTTGTCTCTTTAAACAAGAAATCAAAATAAATTGAAACATATATCATCGACTAAATCTATAGGTGGTACTTCCTTTGACTTTTATACATTCGATTATTTTACAATGTTGTTCAATCTCTTGAATTCTTGCTTTATTTCCATAAAATGATCCAACCATGTCTCGACTTTTGCGCTTGAAAGGGCTGTCAACTCCGGTGATGTAAGTGGTATGAGGCATCCCGATTTCAAGTAAACTTGAACATAATGATCTGATTTTAAAAGCCATCCAATACACATGATATGATCATTTAGATTTTGGAGTGGGGCGGTGCACAGTGGGAAAATGGTTTCTGAAAAACCGTAGTGTGTCAGTTCAACACACACTCTATCATACACACATGCTATTAGGTGACCCATATTAAGGAAGCTCATCCACTTTGCCTCCGGTGGCAGACCACTCAAGCAAGGAACAAAAGACTCATAAACCTCATTAAATTTTTCTTTATTTTCGTACAACCGCACATACGATTCTTTATACGCCTTTAACTCTCTCATAAGTTGATGTTGGACAAGTGAATAATTATCTTCTTCTTTACCGAGTAAAGTCGACATGGCTCAATAACCGCAATTACCATCCTCCACAACATTGATGATCCGCTCGATATATTTGTGGAAAAAACCCGACATCTTGTCAATGAATGAAATCTTTGGTGGAAGCGGCGTCAGAGTTGGTTTGCTAATGCGGGCTCCTTTCGCAACACTATTTTGAGATTTTGGAGTCGTTGAATCGGGAAAAAAGTTTCAATGTGTCAAAAATATGAAGGAGACAATGTAATCGAGTTGTTATTAGGCGTAAGCTTCATTTTCTTTGAAGCACCTTTTGTTTTTACTGGTTGAGAAGGCAATTTCATGTCGGTGGTTTCAGGATAGACAATCCTCCTCATTTGTTCTTTGATTTGGAGTTTCATGTTGTCATCGACCTTCAAAAACCTCTCTTGTATCACTTTCCATTCGATCAAAATAGATATATTCGATTTTCCGTCATCCATGCATCCATCACCATCAAACCTGAATCTCTTTCAATGAAAGCAAACATCGTCCATTCTTACCATATGTTTTCAAAATAGTGCATTCACACTTTGCACTATCAAAGTATACATTATCAAATCGTTTAGCCTCATGAAAAACATAGTTCAAACTCGCCCAAGAAATATTACCAACCAACCGAGAATATAAAGTGTTGTCTTTAAATCTATGTTCCAAAACCACAGTGCTCCGACCAAATGTTATTTGTATCTCATTATGCTGGTTTTGAACCATGTAGTTCACAGAGTCCCAGTTTATACACAAATCCCCTTTACTATTTCCCAACAAAATTTTCAAAGTAGCATGGGCCGGCTCAACTCCAGTTAGTATTTGTATTTCCAAGGTGGCTAACATTATCAGTCCACACGCAAACTATTTTCTCCTTCATCTGATCAAGAATTGTGCTTTTGACATATTTCAACAAATCTAGATACTTTTCAATCACTTTTCATAAATAAATAACAAAATCAACATATAGTTCTTTTGTGAAAGAATTTATTATACGATTCCATGCATCCATAAAATTTTCCACAATCACATCCACCTTCACCAATTTTCCACCTTCGAATTCTATTTGTTTTGTTCTTACAACGGGTTTAACACGGCTTATCACATTCTTTGTTATGTGATACTCACAATGTAATGCATACGAAGAAGGAAATACCTTTGCAATCGAATTCATCAATGCAGATCATGGTCAACAACAATCGCTTTAGGCATCTCACATTGGATCTTCAAAAGTGACCGACACACCTCTAATGCCTAAGTAAAATTGTCCTTTTTTTCACACTCAAGAAATATAAAACCAACATAATATGTCTTCTCATTTGAGGTAACACCAACCATATCAAATAATGGAAATCTATACTTGTTGATCTTGTAGGTTGAATCAAGTATTAACACTATAGGAAATAGGTTGAACAACTTTATGGAGTCAGGATGAATCCAAAAAATATCTCTAACAATAACTCCATTATCGCGCGTTTGGTACCTGGACACGTAACTGTTATCATCCAGCAACTTAAAGAGTTGTTGCCTCTCAGTTCTATCCCCCTAAGCGCCTTGTTAGTGAGGTACCAAATATAATACACTTGCTTGATATTTGATATATCGTTGGGTCGTTTTTGTTTCAATGCTGAAAGTATATTTTTCGGTTGAATAAGATTCAAGATCATGTCACTAATACATTCATTCTCTTCCGGCTTGAGCCGACAAACACTATGATGACCGACTAATTTTAAAACAAATCATGGTTATGCAAATCACATATCACATTAAATCTCGAATTTTTGTTTGCCAACATGTAACCACGAACCTGAAACGGACACTCACATTTTCTACTACCCGTGTCGTCTCTTTTAAAATTCAGGAGAGGAGTTCGATATTTCCTGCTTCTTTTGCACACCATTGTCACAAAAACACATATTCTATCAGAACCATTATCAGACTTTCTGGTAACCATACTAAATCCAACTTTAAAGGCCTTCATACGAATCTATTCAAGCATTTGATCACGAGATTCAAATTCTTGCTTGTTTTTAAAGTCGTTGCCAACATTTAATGCCTTCATAACAATCTCTTAAACTTCTGGAGAAACAACGTTCAAAGAAACAACTTATTTTTGGGAAAACATCGGGGGTGCATCATATCTACTGAAAACAATTAAAACAATAACACAACAATATTTTAACTACTGCTGCAAAATGCCTGAAAAAATGAACATAGAAAACTTTCGAGAATGCATCTCCGAACAAATTCATATACGTTATGGAGATACATTTCCAGACACAACATAAGTTTTTTCAGAAAAAGTTGACGATTGATGTGAGCAATGTAGAGGGAAAAAAACAATCTTTACCTAAAGTTCCATCTTCTTTTGCTTCTTGTGATATGTTAAACCAAAAAGATGGAGATCTGGAGTGAAAAATGGATTGAGAATGAATGGTTTTTAGGGTGAAGGGTTTGGTTGAGAACGAAGTATGATAACAATGGAGGAGTGGTTATGCAGCTGGTTGCTATATCAAATATTTCTGGAGATACATCTTCAGAAATACCTAACATGCAAATGTGATATAAAATTTTAAAATTCCGCCCATAATTCTAGAGATGTATCTCTGGAATATTTATTAAATTGAATAATTAAAATATTTTGTTTAAAATATTTTTGAGATATATATTTCGAGAATAAAACTAACTCAATATATAAAGCATAATTTATAATAATTTTGATTAAATATGTAATGGTGCATCCAAAAATATGTCTCTTTAACCAAAAGACATATATGAGAAACCACGTGTCGAAGGAGGGTGGAAAATGAAGTTCACTCATTTTTGTTTTTGGTAGAAACATGAAACTATTGAGGACCAAAGAGAAAGAAGTTGTTAGTGGGTTTCAAAAGAAAAAAACGTGCAAGTGTGGTCCTTCAATTTCCCAACACAAGCAATCTGCAACACTATTCAACTTTTGAGATCGATATAGAATAGAAAGCGAAAGAAAACGCAATGGATTCATCTCACATGACGTCACTTCCCGAAGATATCACCGACGATCAGCCACCACAACCCGCCTCTGTTTTCGCTTCCGTTCCTCAACGTCCTCCAACCAAGTAACGTTCCGCCACTTCGATTTTCTTCTTCTTACGACGTCGTTTTCATTTTCCATTTCGTTTTGACGGTTATTTATTGCAGGGGTTCGTCGGAAAAGTACGCACCGCTAGATTGGTCCGATTACTTTGACAAAGAAGTCGATGTTGCTATCCCGGAATCAAATGACGTTAGTTTGTGAAATCAATATCATGCTAGATTATGATTTATGATTTAGATTGATTTTTTTCTTCTAACAATTTATTTCACTTATATTCAGGTTTTTCATGTTTACATGGCAGGAACTGAGGGTCCCGTTGTTTTCTGCTTACACGGTGGTGGTTATTCCGGGTAATGCTGATGCATTTCTTAGTTCCTTAATTTATCTTTTAATTTTTTACTAATTTTTAATTTGTTGTTCATGAGGTAACATAGAATTTGGAATTTTGGTACTTGTTAAAGTATCATAAATTAATGCAATGAGAAAAAGAGAAAAAACTGAGTTTGAGAGGGTTATAAACACTATAGAGGTTTGGTATTTAATGATAAAAATGAAGGCATAGATTGTTAAATACAAGTTATTAACGTTAATCATCAATAGCTAATTAGAAAACTAACCGAACCGCAAACAGGAAACTAGCTCTGCAACAGCACTGCAAATTTGGTAGTTATGGATTTTCAATCCTAACCATCTTGATTTATTCCACACACTTGAAAGATCTGTGCTAAACTAGTAATAGGAGAAACCTATGAAACCAAATCAGCAGTATATTGTCAGTTATTATGCTTTGAACCTGCTTTCAGTTCAGCACCTTAAGTGTGCAAGCTTGGTATAGATTTAGATATATTTATGTAGAACTACAGATTTTTCAACTATTATTGCAAGTTAGCAGTGTAATGAAAGCCTCTGTATTATTTCATTACAGGCTTTCATTTTCTGTGTCAACCGGTATAATTAAGGAGAAAGCTAGAGTGGTTGCGATGGACTTGAGAGGTCATGGAAAATCAGTGACAGATGATGATTTGGACTTATCTGTTGAGGTACAGAGTAACAAATAAACTAAAGTGAAATACATTGTTTGTGAAAACGTGTGCCGTGTTCAGTTTTCTGGGTTTTGTTATAATTTTCATGTGATTGTAGTGGTGATCATTCTTTTATGCAGACCATGTGCAATGATGTATTGGCTGTTATAAAGGAATTGTACGGTGTTTCTCCTCCTGCAATTATTCTAGTTGGGCACAGGTGATTTAATTTGATTAGACTTTTATTATTTTACAGTCTCTGGTTTTTCATAAACAAAGAGATCCACTTTGTTGACAAACTTGCATCTTTGTGAAGCATGCAGTGGTTATCATTTTCCAGATTAAATGTACCGAAACTTAAATTCTGCTGTCACTGCCTTCATTAGATGATGATATAATATAACTCTTGGTTCGTAAAAGTTTGACGTCTTATATTAATATAAGGGGGACAAATTTCAGGGTGGTTAAGTATTTTTTATGGTGTATAGTCCTGTTTAATGACAATCATCATCAATGCTAGATTGGATATTGCATGTTCTTTATATTTTTATGTTGTGTCAATTGTTATTTATCCAATGTGAAGTTCAATGAAGGAAATTTAATTTGGTTCTGGTTCTTACAAATATTTTGGGGGTGAATGAGTAATCACCGGAACAAACTGAGTTGAGTTGACAAAAGAAGAGAACTTTTATTGTTTTCCCATTTTTTTTATCCTCCTCATCACCACAGCTTCCCTTCATTTGACTAGACTTATCATTCTTCAATCCTTACATCATTTTTCGTAGTCAAAATGGATCTGCTGTAAAACTCTAAGGCATAGCTGTAGAAATGTTATGACTTTTTGTTGTATGTGATTGTTGAACTTGGTTTCAACTAGAGATATTCTGTACAATAGGGTAAGTTTTACATTTTCATTTGCTCTTGCAGATATTAATTTTTCTCTACTTAATTTAATTTTTTGTTTTTACTTTATATCACGCGGCCTTTGTTTTTCACTTTCAGTTTCATTCTTCAATGAGTTTTATTCCTACAGAAATAGATGGCGAACCTAATCTGAATAGATTATCACTTTCACTTATATAAATGATGATTATTTTGGGAATTAATATTATTGATTAAAAATTTCTCCGTCATCAAAGCATGGGAGGGTCGATTGCTGTGCATGTTGCTGCGAAGAGATTATTGTCAACCTTGGCTGGGTTGATTGTTGTGGATGTTGTAGAGGTTGGTTTCTAACTTCCTAGTAGTTAAGTTCCTTATTGCTTTTACTACTACTGACACATCACAGGTAGGCACTAAAATGTTGATTGTCACAAGAATTTCAGGGAACAGCAATGGCTTCACTAATTCATATGCAGCAAATCCTATCAAATAGGATGCAACATTTTTCAAGCATTGAAAAAGCTGTAAGCTCTGTATCCTTACCTGTTTTCATTTGCATTTTAAATTACTCATTACTTGGTTGACACGACTGTTTTCATTTAGATCTTATTTATTTTAGTAATCTTATTTGTCATCTGTTGGTTCTTTTTTTTATGAAAGCATTTTTGTATGTCATCCCTATTCCTAATTTTTTTATGCACTGCTTGGACATCAGTGCTTTAGTGTTGTTTCAATTGTATTGGTGAATTTTGAAGGAAGTTGGAATTGCTTGTATGCAGATTGAATGGAGTGTCAGGGCCGGAACTTTAAGAAATATTGATTCTGCTCGGGTATCAGTCCCTGCCACATTAAAATACGATGATTCAAAGAAATGGTTGGTACTTCTCTCCTGGCCTTTCATTACACTGGTAGAATAATCCAAAGTATAGTTCTTTTCCTTTACCCAATCTGAACAAGCTGGTTCCGTGGAATGATCTTGATTTGATGCCACAGTTATGTTTATCGGACAGAGCTGGAAAAGACTGAACAGTATTGGAAAGGGTGGTATGTCTTAATCTTTTCATGCTTACTACATTTAAGAATATTTATAGTAAATATAATGATTTGTTTCCTTATTTACTAGTGAAAGGATCGAGAATCTAGCTCTAGAATAATGTTCTGTATTCTATAATAATGTCCAACATATCATTCACATCAATATGAATGTAATTTATTGATGTACATTTTTCTTTTTCGACCTTATGTCTAAAAGACTAACCCTATAACTTCAACACAATATGCAAATGATATCATCCTCTCATCACTATTCAGAGTTCTATTTCAACAGTGTCATTATCTATTGTACCTTTCAGGGTAGTTGTTTGAGTTTTAGGTTTTAAAAGTCAATTTTGAAAACAAAACCTGTTTGAATAAATTGGAGTAAAATGGATTTTTCCTTAATATGAAAACAGATTTTACCTAGAACTCGACCAAAAAATAAGTTTTTTGTTTCTTGTTTCAACTTTTACAGTGAGTGCATATTGCCTTTCTATTCCAACATGTCAGTGTTCTCCCTGCCATTCTGCCTTTCTATTACAATGAGGTGAGGTAAATAGTGTAACTTTACTAAAAAATTAGAACTGGTTTTGGTTTTTTGAAAATTTTAAAACATAAAACAAAAAACCACTCTGAACAGGAGCCACACTATCCTTTTTTCTGGTTAGTTGTGCACAGTTTACACCCACCTTTTTGCTTCTCAATTTCGATCTAGTTAATAAGCTTTTCTGTTTTCCACTTTTTTAGCCCATCTTAGAAGCCTCAAATCAGTTCACCACCATGTCTTCCTTCCTCCCGACTATCCTTGAAAAGCATGTTGGCTCCAGCTATCCCAGAAAAGTAGTTTGGCCCTGGTAGAGTCCAAAGTGCAGTTTGGCCCAGTTTTTCCCTTAGTTGTGGTTTGACCCCATTTTCCCCCTGCTGTAGCCTGGTCTCAACTTTTGTCATAGATGCAGTCTGCCGGAGTTCTAGTGATGAACCATCTTCCTAGTTACTCTGGATTTTGGGTCTTCATGTTCCCTCGGGCCTGAGTTTCGCTGCTGTCGATAGTACGCGACCCTTTTCTGAGGAAATCTCATTTCATGGGGTCGGTAGTGGTAGGGGGATGCTTGTGTTGGTTGAAGTCCTAATATCCACGGATGCCACCAACTCATCTCCCCTCTCAGCAAGCTAGGTTTGGTCCGTTACCCAGGATTCTGGTTTTACGTTAGAGCATTCCAACTCCTTATGCCTATTTGGACTTAACCTATCATTTCTTTCCCAAGTACTCCCCTATACATTTCTTTCACGCCACGACCTTGTCCAACGCTCTCTCTATGGTTCTCGTGGTTCTAATACAAGGGACTGGTTCTTGTGGTTCCATCGGTGGAAGATTAATCAGCACATAAGAAACCCATTTCTCCTTGCAGCCAATGCCCTGTCTATTCGCTGGTCAAATTCATGTTGGGTGGCTCAGGTGATGGCGCGGACTGGCTGAAATTTTGGAAGTCCAAGGTCCATGGCTATTACTCCTCTCCATCCCATTCTAGTGTTGTGAGTCCCAAACGATAATCTCATGTTGGGGCATCGACCTTCAACCCACTTTCTAATTTTTTAATCTTGATCCACTAAGTTGAGGAGCAGTTGTACTGGCTTTTGTTTTTGGTCTTGGCTGGCTTTTCTCTTATTCGATGAAGTTGGTCAAGACACCCACAAGTTAGATTGGAAACTGGCACTAAACATAGAAATATAAAGGAAATAACTGTCCTTTATTGAATAGTTCTGGTTACTGAGATCAGAATTTGGATTACAATAGGAAATCTAGTTTGCAAAATTATTAGAGAGAAAACAAAGGAAAATTAAGACAGACACTTCCTATCCAAGAAATTCGAGTCTTGGTCTACCCCTTCCAAGAATTCAAGAGCTTGATCTCTCCTAATCAATATCCAGTCCCCAAATAAAATGCCTACTGATTTTTACTTCAGTTTTCCTTATTCAGTAACTGCCTAATAACACAACTGTTGGCTGGGGCCTAATAAAACAGTTTATGCTCCCTACTAATATAATAACAATACTAGTATGTGGTCTACCTTTATGCTTCTTGATCATTTTTTGCCTTTGCCTCCACTATATTGGCTTTTTATTTTGCTGCTGTTATTGATTCTATTCTTGGCCTATCAACCAATATTGTTTCTTCATTGTCACCAAGATTCTTGATCCTTGGAATTTCACCCTAATTTACTTTTTTCTTGATCTGGATCCCCAATCCTGAAGATAAACCAAGCTCTTGTTAGAATCACATGAGCACAGCCTTCTCGAAGGTGTGTATTGTAGCACTCCAGTTATTGCTCTCCAGGAAAACCATTAAAAGAGTCTCATTCCAATGTCATCCAGACCCACGAGAGCATAATTATCGGTCTTATTACAAAGTTCCTACGCAGTTTTTTATACTACTGCGTCAGAAGGCAATGGGTAATTGAATGTAAAGACTGGTCTTTAGTTTGGCAAAGTTGTTACAGTAAAGCACAGATCTACAATGCTTTTTCAGTTATTTGCTTCTCTCTCTTTTAATCTTTTTATTAAAAAGTGTCCAAATTAATACAAATGTGAGGTATATTATGGGATTTGATAGGGACCCATTTTAAAGTTTTTGAAGAATCATATGAATATTTGAAAAATGTAGTTGACTTGTTTAAAAAATTGGGAAGAATGAAATAAAATAAAAAATTGAGTGGGGACCGATTTAAAGAACCCATATGGGTATGATGGACGTGGGTGCTATGAAAGCTTCTCTTCTTCACACACTCAAATTGCCTCAGAATACTGATCTAAATTGATTAGCCACCAATAGGTGTCGTCGCCCGCATCAAGTACTGGCCTCAATCTTGAAGTATTCCACCCCAAATCCCCCTGCCTCTCCAAGATTGGAGCTCTGATACACGTTGATTGGAGCCCTGATACGCGTTGATTGGAGCCAGTCAGCCAGATCAGATTGTATTATAGTAGAGATGGTGTTTATTGATGGAAAATAATATTGCACTCCAGTTTTTCAAGAGACCGGATTCTCTCCCTCTCTCGAAGCCCTGTATAAAACCAAAGTTCTTTTATCTAGTCTCCCCTTTCAATTATTTATTATATCCTTTCATCTCACACTAACTAAGTAATTCTCTAAGCTCTTTACAAGACCAAAGATCATCTATCTAATCTCTCCTTTCTATTATTTATTTTAGCCTTTCATCTCACACTAACTAACTGACTTAGTCATTCATTTTCGTTAACAAACCAACTAAGAGTTACCTTTCATTTAGTTCCTTATCCCTTTATATATCACAATATGTTTTCTTGTTTAATGAGGATTAGGAGCTCAGTAAGTATAAATAAGGAATGCTGCTTTCTCTTCTGTAATAAGGTTCAATATAGTTTTATTAATCTGCCTATTTCTTTTTCTCCCTCAATATGTGAAAGACTAACTCAATCACCTCCAACACTATCCTCGGTAGTTAACTAATAATATTCATGAAACCAGTGGCTTTCTATGTGTTTTATGTAAGAGGTAAAAACCTCTTACAAATTCCGTATAAGTTGTTTGACCTTGCATTTGTACCACAGATGGAGGTTATCAGGGATCATTGTTGGCTAATTGCCTAATATTGCATGGATATGGATTGGAAATATAGAACTTTTCATCAAACGTTTTTATTTTATTTTTTCAAAATTCAAGTTATATTTTGAAATTTGTCCTTTTTATGCAAAGTATGATAACTCAATTCTAAACAGATAGAACTAGGATACAAATTTTATCAAATTGGAAGTAAATTTCATGGTGTTTTATCATTCATTATATAATTTTTTTTTCGTTCAGGTATGAAGGCCTCTCAGATAAATTTTTGTCGTCTCCTGTTCCGAAGCTGTTGCTCTTAGCAGGAACAGATAGATTGGACAAGTAACATCCCTTGAATTGTTTTTGTTTTTGGCAGTGCTTTAAACTTTATTTGACAGTTTCCACGGAAACCTTTTCTTTTGTGGTTTTTGTCAGTTTAAATAGTTTGAGTGGAATTAAACAGTTGGATGGAATTTTTTGCTTACTTAATATGTTGTGTTGATGATAACTGTCTGGTCCAAATAGTAAAGCCAATTGTGATCAGAGATGCGCCGAGTTCAATTTTATGTTGTTTCATTAATAGCTGCAGTTCAAATGCATAATATGGAAATAATAACTGTCTAAATGTCTTTGGTGTTTTTATTTTCTAGAAAAGTTCAATTAGGGAAGGAGAAGTAAGTAGTTCTTGGTTTATTGGTTGTTATGCACTATTTCCTGCAGAGAGGTTATGTTCCACTGTTTCTTCCTTTTCTTTCCGTTCCTTTATTGCTGTACACAATGATAGCATTTTATGTTCTTCTTTGAAATTAAAGTTTAGTTCACCTTAGTCTATCTGATATGCACTGATATGTAGATTGTAACTTTCTTTATCTGTTTTTGATTAATAAGACGGATTGATGGAAACTTCAATATGAAGGTCCACACATGATTGAGATAGTAGTATGAACTTTTCATACGAATAACCCCGGTGAAAATAGCTTTATATATAGTTTTATTTAATTTCTCCTCTTTCTTTCCCGAGCTAATGAGCAAATGGAATTGTTCAAGTGTTCTTATTTTTTTATTGGCACTGTTTCTGTAACAGGTCTCTCACAATTGGTCAAATGCAAGGGAAGTTTCAGATGGTAGTTGTCAGACACACAGGTCATGCTATTCAGGTTTGTGCTTGCCATGTTTCTTGCTACATTCATTATGTTGTTTTATGGTTTTCTTTATTACTTTGTAATCTAACATCTTGTGTCCTAATATATTTAGGAAGATGTACCTGATGAATTTGCAACACTGGTTGTCAACTTTATTTCTCGTAACCAAATAGGCCCTAACGGAGTGGTGGTATGTATCTTTTTCATTTCTTATCAATGCTGTTTACAAGTGTCTGCAGACATAGAGGGTTTTGTCCCCATAATAAGAATATTGTGGCTCTCTTTTTATTGTATCCATACTAAGGATAGGTTTCTCTCATTCTATATGGACTACTCTTAAGTCTGTAACCTTAATCGCAAATAGGAATTTCAGTTTTGAGCTTCAACCTCAGCTTAGTGGATAGTAGAGTTTTTTTTTTTTTGAGGGGGGAGGTGGTTCTGTTCAATTGGAGGGCAAACAGAAAAAACTAAGTAGCCATAAAAGTCAGATGGGGCTGATAATCCCCTTAAGCTTCAGAAATCTAATACACATGGCCACACATAACTGTTTTCGTGTAGCCTGGTTCACAATCCGTTGTCTATTTAGCCATCCGATCTGTGTTGACAGTTGCCTTTTTTGAGGGTATGCACGAGCCTCAACTCTCAATCTTTGCATCTTCAAATGATTTTAAATATTTGATCACTGATAGATGGGCTCAAAGACGGTTGATCGATCAAGGAAATGAGCATGTGAATCACTCTTGATAAAATTTTCTGCTATTCCCAATTCCTAGGGTTGATCGATCAAGGAAATGAGCATGTGAATCACTCTTGATAAAATTTTCTGCTATTCCCAATTCCTAGGGTTGATCGGTCAAGGAAATGAGCATGTGAATCACTCTTGATAAAATTTTCTGCTATTCCCAATTCCCAGCAAAATACTCAAGTGCAGTATGAGCTGTTCCATGACCACGGTGCCAAGTAGATACCATCAGCCACTACCCAGTTTCATCCCTCAGCATATCCTTACACAGCTCTATCCTAGTACTTTGAAAAACCCAATTTGATCCAAATCTTATATCATTTATCTTGCAAATGCTCATAATGACAATATCTGCAGTTTCACTTATTGCACTTTGAATTGTATTCATTATACAAAAATTCTGAATTGCATTGGTTGGTTTATGAATCTGACATATCTCATCTCTTCAAGTTCCAGACGTCTGAATGGTGACCATAATTCATTAACCTGCTCTCTTCAATAAGTTAAATAGAATTAAAAATTAAAATTCACTGCTTTATAAAAAAAATATTAGACCGTATGTTGTATATTTAAGTTTGATTGCCACACTACTTGACATTTGGTTCATATAATTTTTAATAAAATTATTTTGCAGATACCTGGCCTCCGCAAGCCTGCCTTTTCAAAACCGTGAATCATGGTGATGATGGTTTTATCATCTGACATTCCTTTAGTTGTATTATTATTATGAATGCTTACATATTTTGGTAGGTGGAGCTAGTATATATTTTAGATTATGATCCGAAGAATGTGTTATTCCCACAACTAATTTAGGCATCTCATATCAAGGTATAATGGATTGCATCCCAAAAAAATATCAAGGTACAATGGAAGAAATGCTTAATTTATATTAGGTTCTAGATAATAAGGCACAATGGAAGGAATGCTTGATTTCTAGTAGAGTCTAGATATATGGTTCTTAATTTATAAAAACTTATATATGATTATTGGTGTTTAGAGAGAAGTTAAATGGAAGGCTTTCAAAGAGATAAATTATAAACATACGTCCGGCAATATGCTTTTGAAATTAAAAAAACCAAGTACGACATTCTTGACTTCTATATTCCTTTTGGTCATGTTCATGTTTATACAAATATTTGGGATTAATTTTCTAATAGATTGAATGTTTATACAAATATTTGGGATTAATTTTCTAATAGATTGAATGTTCATTAATAATATATTTTTAATATTGAAATTATTATAATGATATAGAATAAATTTGAAAACTTTATAAAATTTTTAGAACTTTTTAAAATCTTTGTTCAATACAATTTTTGACTTCTCTTGTTTTTAGAATATTTTTTATTATGAAGAAAAATCAACCTCCCTAATCAAGCTTAATGACAGAATCAATTTTACCCCATAGTTGAAACTAATTAAACCTGGAACACTATTTTTTATGGACTGATTAAATATTTGCACCTACTTGAAAATTCAAGACTAACGCACTTTTAGATTCTAAATCTTCACCAACACGTATGAGGTTCCTCTCTTTTTTTCCTTTTCCAAAATTCTCCCATTTCATTTGAAATTGCAAGCAAAACCTTAATGTACATGTAGTTTATGCTAGTAATATTGCAATATCAATATAGCTATGTTTTTAAAAAAATGATATATTTTTTACTTTATTTTAACAATTACACAGGAAATTAATTTCTGTTTTATAAAAAGTTACGAATAATTGATAGAAGATATATATATTGAAGCGTGGAATTTTTTTTAAAGATAAAAATATCGAGTAATTCATCAAATTCTTTAATAAAATTACGAGGTTATAGCGCATGCTGGAGTAATAGAGAAAAAACACTTTAGTTTTAATCTATAAGAACAAATGAAATATATGGAGTAATAGAGAAAAAACACTTTAGTTTTAATCTATAAGAACAAATGAGATATATAAATTATGCAAACTATATGAGAATTAAACTTATGAGTCATACCATAAAATTACGAGAAAGAGTAATTAATTGAACGAAGATTAAGAAAAGAGACCCAAGACCCAAGTTATTGAGAATCAATTTGATTTTATGTCTGAAAGGTTGACAATGAAAGCAATTTATCTATTATGGTGTGCGATGGAGCAATATCAAATGTACTAATAAGACTTTCACTTAATTTTTATTGACTTAGAGAAGACATATGATAGAGTGTCTATAGAGATTTTGTAAAAAATCCTAGAGAAGAAAGGGGTTAAGATTGCATATATTCAAGCTATCTAATATATGTATGAAGGGATATCGACTAGTGTGCGAACACAAGGTGGAGAGACAAACGACTTTTCCATTACAATTGGTTTGCACCGATGTTCTACCTTAAACCCCTACCTTTTTACCTTAGTTTTGCATGTATTCACGGAACACACTCAAAAGCTAGCACAAAGTGCATGTTTTCCGCAAATGATATAGTTTTTCTTCGAGAGTTAAAGAAGGATTTAAATGAGAGGTTGGAAACTTGGAGACGACTTTTAAAAATACATGGCTTTCGCCTAAGTAGAAGTAAGACAAAGTATAAGAATGTAAGTTCACCAAAAGAAGAAGCGTTTCTAATCTAGAGGTGAAAGTTGGAGTCCATATGATCCCTCAAGTAACACTGTTTAAATATTTTGAAACTGTAATACAAAATGATGGAGAAATAGAACCCATCAAATTCAAGCCAGATGGTTGAAATGAAGAAGAGCATCATGTGTTTTATGTGATACAAAGGTACCACTCAAGTTGAAAGGAAAGTTTTATTGGACTGCAGTAAGACCTGCGATTTTGTACGGGATATAACGTTGAGGGGTTAAAAATCAACACGAGAATAATATAAGTGTAACAAAGATGAAGATGTTACGGTGGATGTGTGGTAAAATTCGACAATATTGAATTAAAAATGAAAATATTAGGGAGAGTGTCGGATAACATCTATAATAGAAAAAATGATAGAAAATAGACTTAGCTAGGTGATTTGGACATCAAACAAGAAGATCCATAGATTCTATAATAAAGAGGGTACACTAGATGAATAGAAGACAAACAATTATATGAAAGAAAAGATATAGAAAAATTATCAAAAAAATTATTAAAAAAATTGATTCATATAATTGACTTCGCTGAATAATATAAAACTGAAATTGTTGATGTGTAAGATGATTAGGCGAACAATAATGTTTTTCATAAAAGATTTAATACTACCCTATTTTTAGAGAGATGTATTCAAATTTAGGATTTTTAATTAAGTGGGAAGATATTTATCATCTTATTCAAATATTTAAGAGATAAATCGTTAATGAATTTATAAGTATGAAATGATATTAAAATATATGTTAAAGAGCATAAATAAATTTAAAAGAAAAATTAAGAATATGTAAAAGAAGTGCAAATTTATAAAAAATAAAAATTGTCATGGACATATCTAATTTGTTGGTAAACTTATAAATTATTAATTGAAAATGTTGTTTTAGCAAACAGTGAATATGAAGTAATAATTATTCTGTAATAAAACTCTTTGAAGTTTCTTTTACATTATGCTTTCAATAGTTATTTCTTATATATTTAAATAAAAAATTCATCAATAGATTTAAAATTACTATTACATGGATTATTTTTATTCAATTAAATTTTTTAATATATTAAATAAAATATATCAAAATTATCTCATTTAATAAAAATTTGAATATATTGATAAATTATTTCTCGTTTCTATAGATTACTTTAAATTAATCTTTGACATTATGCATGCGTTCAAATGATTTACAACTTTATTAAAATGTTATGTTGATTCTTATATTTAGATGTTTAAGATTAATTTAATTTTTTAACATTAGTATTGAAAAATTAATATGAAATAAGAGATTTATTTAAAAGTGTCTTACTAACTTGATTGGACATTAAATACATTTGTAGTCATTTAAAATATCTCAAGTTTCCTTTTTAGTATTTTAAAATATTTTATTTAAAAAATGATCCTTTTAAAAAATTTTATTTATAATTTTAATTATTTTTTGGGTAATGTTAACTTGTGCCCTTGGGACACATGTTAAGAACTAAATTAAGAAATATTATCTTGAAAATTGTGTACAAACTTAAATTAAAATATAAAATTAATTTTTAAATTGTTTTGCCAATACAAATTTACTAAAAGTGATTTCCTTAACATGTGCCCCAAGAGCACAAGTTAACATTACCCTTATTTTTTTTTACAATTTAAAGATTAAATGACGATTTTAATGATAATTTATCACTTAATGGCTGAATTAATAATAATTTTAATAACAATTTTAGTATTAGAGAATGTGAATGTAAAATTTTTAAAAAATAATTCTTTGAAACATATATTTTGAAGAATTAAAAACTAAATTTGAAATTTTGAAGAGGATCACAAATATATCTAATTAAAATTTTATAGACAAAATATATTCAACAATAATCTTTCAACCCAATTACTCCATCCGTTTCACAGTAATTGTAGTTTAGAAAAATATTTCTTTCAAAATAAATCCCATTCTTATCATTCGAAATATAAATAATTATTATTTCTTTACTTCCAAGTCATTAATAAGATTAAGTTAATAAAATTGTAATACTTTATTATAATATTCTTGTATTTTTTAATCTGCATACAAAAATTTTAACAGTTTAATAATAATGCACTATTTGTATAAAAAATATTACACCTATAGTTAATTAAAATATTTTAAAATAACAAATTATATAGGTAATTTAAAATTTACAAACTGACTTAATGAAATATATATTTGTCAGATTAGGTTTTTCTCGAAAACAAAACCCTCCTAATTTAAATAGTGTACGACCTTTTAACTACATATATCAAAACTTAAGATTTTTTTACCAAAAATTAATGGAATAAACTAAATAACATAACAAAAATGAAATTAAGGGATTAATATTTTTTTAATTTAAAAGTTAAAACGAAATATTAAATTAAATTAAAGAGAAAAATAAAATTAAGCCTTTTAAATACTACTATGTATGTAATATTAGAGCACTTATTATGACAAATGTCGTTTGTTGAGTGTAACAATGTGATGCCAACTTATCAAGTCTCATGTTATATTATTATTATTATTATTATTAATATGCGCAACGAATATTGTTGTGATCATGATAGCTTTTACATGCAGAATAAAATGCGAACATAAACTTTACGACGCCCACCCAAAACCACATACGAAACTTGACTTTTGCCTCACGCTAACGCTAAGTAAAAAGAATTTGATGTACCAAAAACGATCCACGTCAACAAAAATGTTAGGGCGGACTAAGATGCATGCACCGTGGCTTCCGCGTTCCATTTTCCAACGCAGCAGCTACGCAATTCCTATTATAAATACTCTCATTCTCCCTCTCTTCTCTTTCGCTGAATCCAAAACCTAATACCTAACTCTCGTTTTCTTTGCCGAGAAATCAACCAATGGCGTCGTTTGAACAAGCACCACCCGGTGATTCCAAAGCCGGAGATAAAATCTTTAGAACCAAATGCGCTCAGTGCCACACCGTAGAAAAAGGTGCCGGCCACAAGCAAGGTTAGATCGATTACTTTTTTATTTGATCCGTTTCTTAGTTTTTGAATTTATGTAATATAAGGCTTAGATCTAAAGGTTTTAACAGTAATTATTCTCTATTCATACGTTACGCAATGAGTGTAATAATGCATGGATTCGATTCATAATTTTTTGATTTATTTCTGGATATATTCTTTAATTGTTTGTTTTATCATAAATTTTTTGATTAATTTCTGGATATATTCTTGAATGTTAATGCATGTGTTCATAATTTTTTTGATTAACTTCGTGTGTTCCAATTGTCTTCTAGTTAATTGAAACTGTTTTTTTTTGCTTGTGTTCGATAATTAAATGTGATTTGGTTCTCATTGAAAATTTTATTATTTAGTTATATTTTAAATTGGACACTCTTGATTTACGATTTGGGGATTTGGACACAGACTTCATTTAATACGGTTGTCTAGGACAATATTTTATGGATTTGCTCTGTAATTTTTTCAAAACAGAGAATATTAAAGCCTTTGTATGCCGGGATAATGTTGTGAATTCATTGATATCTTCAATACTATTAGATCTGTGTATTAAATGATATGTTTTGTCATTTATTAAATATCTTCAGCTGCTTCAATACTTTCTTTTGTTGTTGTTATCCGCTGATACTATTATTCACTATTTTTGTGATAAAGAATAAATTGTGTTTATTTCACACCGCATTGACCGCAATCAAGCTTCCACCACCGACAGAAATAGCAAAAACCTTTACTCAACTGCATTTTTGCAATATAATGAATAGTTATTTCAATAATCGGTTCCTAGTCTAATGTCATTGTCACAAATTTGTCACAAATTCGTTTTCCCCATAATCTCTATAGTTTAATTGTAATTTTTATGTTGCATGTATGAACTTCTTGAATAATGTGATTATGTATTAAGACTAAAATATTTTCCAATCTCAGGACCAAATCTGAATGGTTTATTTGGAAGGCAATCAGGCACTACTCCCGGTTATTCCTACTCAGCAGCTAACAAGGCCATGGCTGTGAATTGGGAGGAAAAGACTTTATATGATTACTTGCTTAATCCCAAAAAGGTACCATACAATCTAGCATTTCTATATTGATTGGCTATTAATCAACCCGATAAGATTTGCAATTAATTTAGTTAGACAAACTTTTCAACGAACACTTTCAGCAAAATAAAATTGAAATATTATTATGAATCTTAAAACCTAGAGCTTTTTGCATAAATTGAATTGAGCTTTTAATCTCACAATTTAGAAACATTCTTATATTCTACATTACTACCTATGACAAACAAGGGCTTTGATATTGCTTAGTAATAGTGAGAAATGTGTTTCCATCACTATGTCACTGATTTCTGTATGTCATGCTTTTGTGCAGTATATTCCAGGGACTAAGATGGTGTTTCCGGGTCTTAAGAAACCCCAAGAACGAGCAGATCTTATTGCATATCTGAAGGAAGCCACTGCCTAATGATTTTTATATTTCCATACATTAAATTTTACAATGTGATTTTGAACTTCTGGAGATTTTTCAGATATTTAGTTTTGCGGAGCAGTTAGTACTGTATTTTTGGCAAATAATGTAGGCCACATTGGTTTGCAATGCTGTTTTATTCATTTTGCATTGCGTCTCTCAAAGCTGACGTATTGGTTGGCTTGAGTTCGCTCAATTATCTATTGAGAATTGAAACATTCTTATCAGTATTTGGTTAATTGGAAGCACAGTTTAATGTGCTCGTTGGCTTGAGTTCGCTCAATCAAATTGAAACATTCTTATCAGTTATTTGGTTAATTAGAAGCACAACTTAATGTGTTTCACTTTATTTATCGCCCTGTAAAAGTCACATGAATTTGCTTTAGCTGAAACAACATTAATACTTTTTAATGTTCATTGATTATACTATAGGAACTTCTAGATAGAATACAGAGGAAATAAGGAAACACAACCATTAGAATACATAGGAAATATAACAGAGAAAATAACCGTAGGTAAGTCCGCTAGGATTTAGAGAGCCATGTGAATCTCAAACCAATCAACATGCCCAATGCCCTATATCTGTTTACTCTCTGCTGATTGACAACTATTTTATTAAACAGTTTTGTTATTTAATAACTGTTGCCTATTTAATAAATGTCTGCTGCCAAGTTCTAACAATAGTCTTCCTCTCCCTCGTGACTAGTTGTTGGGAAGACCAAGACCAAGACCCCAGTGCAATTTTTTGTTTAAAGCCAAAGTCGGGGTGTTGGGTCATGCGTGTTCTGAGGAGATGAAAGCGAATGGAATTTAAATGGAAGAGAGTCTCAACTAAACATTCGTAGCCGAGGGGAACATTCACAAGATAATATTTTAGGTCTCAGGGCACTCGAAAGACTTATTGTAAGACAAAAATAATATAAATTTTAATATTTACAAATCACACACATCATGAAAAAAAAATTAATCACCCTTATTAGAAATTCAACTATAACCTATAAAGAATTTCACTCAATCAATCTTGATCTCAAAAATATTCTCACTCACGTACATAGAACTCTCTGCCCACAAACTGTGAAAATTATGTTATTTCACTTGCAACGGCAAACTATGAATTACAAAATATGATGAAATGAGATGTTTACAAAATAATGGTTTCTCCCTATTTTTAGATTTAGGTTAGCTTGCACCCCAAGGCAAAACTCAAACTATAAAAACCCAAAAATATCTAATATGATCTTTCTAAATCAAATCTAATATTTCTAAAACAATGAATTACATTTTTAACACACCACCTAATTCATTGTGTCTAAACTATCTACATTCATCATAGACCTTACATTCTTGAACATTTCGACTGACACTCCCTTCGTCATGATGTCTGCAATCTAATTCTCTGTTCTGCGGTGTTTCAAATTCATCTTCCCTTTTGCTATCTGCTCCCGAAGATAATGGAACCTCATTTCGATGTATTTGCTTCGACCGTGTGCTATTGAATTCTTTGCTTAGTTGATAGCTGACATGTTGTCGGTCTTCATGGTAATTGCTCCATGACTCTTCACTGTGATCTCTTCGACCAGGTTCACCATCCAGGTTGCTTGACATACACAAAGAGAAACAACTGTATATTCTGCTTCGCATGATGACGATGCCACTACTAGCTCCTTTCTCAAACTCCAAGCAATTGGTGCACCACCTAGCATAAACACATAGCCAGTTGTGGATTTTCTATCCTCAACATCACTATACCAGCTAGAGTCGGTGTATCCCACTAACTTGCATTCTTTTCCTTCATCAGCTACAGGAAACAAAATGCCATAGTCAAGAGTCCCTTTTAGATACCTCATTATCCTCTTTGCTGCTGCTAGGTGTGATACCTTTGCCTTTTGCATGAATCTGCTTACCATACCCACACTGTATGCTAAGTCAGACCATGTGTGACAAAGGTATCGAAGTGACCTAATAAGTCTTCTATATTGGGTTGGGTCGACATCATCTTCATCTGAATCCTTCGACAGTTACAATCTGGTCTCAGTTGGAGTCGAAGTTGGGTTGCAATCTTGCATCTCAAATCTCTCGAGTATTTCACCTGCATATCTTCTTTGGTGCATCATCAAACCTCTACTACTCTTGTAGAATTTAATGCCAAGGAAATATGAAAGATTTTGCAAGTCTGACATTTCAAACTCCTCACGCAAGTTATGTTTGAAGTCTTCGATCTCCTTCTTGCAACTTCCTGTTATCAACAGGTCATCGACATAGAGGAATAATATAAGCAGTTCACTACTGCTTCTTCTTACATACACTCCATGCTCAATCGTTCACTTCACAAATCCCTTCTCCCTTAAGAAGCTGTCGATTTTATTATTCCAAACTCTTAGAGCTTGCTTAAGTCCATATAGGGCTTTATGTAGCTTGTACACCTTTCTTTCTTCGTCTCGTTTCACAAACCCAGCTGGTTGTGCAACATAAACTTCTTCGTCTAAGGGACCATTCAAGAATGCACACTTCACGCCCATTTGACACGTGTGCCAATTGTTCATATTTGTCAGACCAATAAACAATCTGATTGTTCTGATCCTAGCAACAGGTGCAAAAACTTCGTCGAAGTCGATTCCTTCCTTCTGAAGAAATCCTTTCGCTAAAAGTATCGCCTTGTGTCGAGTTACTTCTCCTTTAGGATTCACCTTCACATCAATTTCCTTCTTGCCTTGAGGAAAATCGACAAGTGACCAGGTGTTGTTGACTTCGATGGACTCTAACTCCTCATTCATTGCTTTCACCCACTTCGAATCTTTCAATGCCTCAGCTGCATTGACTGGTTCGACATCTGCGTAGAAAGCATAGTGTACCAGCTCACCTTTTTTATCGACCACATCTAATCACGCATTATTGCAACCTTGCAGGCATGTGTCTTGTTCGTCGAGGTCTGCTTGAGCCAGCTTCATCTTTGACTTGTTCCTGTCGAACTTCACTTTCACTTCAATGGCTGGTTCTTCACAAGAGATTCTCACTGAATCCTTCTTGAAATTCTCAGTCCAATTCCATTCTTTAAGCTCATCTATGATCACATCCTTAATGATCACTACCTGCTTATTCACTGGGTCGAACAACTTGTAACCTCTAGTCGAATGATATCCTATCAAGATCATCTAATTCGACTTATCATCAAGCTTCCTTCTCAACTGATCTGGCACATGTCTATGTGCTATAGATCCAAACACCTTCAAGTGACTGAGGCTAGGCTTGACACCAGACCAACGTTCTTCTAGTGTAATTCCTTTAAGCTTCTTCGTCGGACATCTGTTTAATATGTATGTTGCTGTCAAAACTGTGTCTCCACATAATTCTTTGGGTATATGCTTTCCATTCAACATACTTCTAACCATGTTCATGATGGTTTTGTTCTTTCTTTCTACAATTCCGTTTTGCTGTGGAGTGTAGGGTGGCACCACCTCATGCATAATCCCTTATTTTTCGCATAATGCATCGAACTCTTTTGACACATACTCTCCACCATCACCAGTCCTCAGAGTTTTCAGCTTTCGACCACTCTGTCTTTTGACCATAGATTTGAATATGGAAAATACCTCAATCACATCACTTTTCTTCTTGATGAGGTAAGTCCATAGCTTTCAACTGTAATCATCTATGAACGTGACAAAGTATTTGTTGTCTGCAATCAAATCCACCTAGATTGGACCACATACATCATAATATATGACTTCCAGAATTGCCTTCAACTTCCTTCATGCATCCTTGCTGAAGCTATTCTTGTGTTGTTTCGAATGAACACACTCTTCACAAACTTCACTTGAAATGATGATTTCAGGTAATCCTGAAGCCATGTTTCTCCTTCATAGCTCTCTGATGTCATTGAAGTTGAGATGGCCTAGTCGAAAATACCATAACCATTCATCTCTGCTGGTTGCAATTGCTAAGCACTTGTGCTCCATCATATTGAGTTCAATCTTGAAGGTCCTATTCTGAGACATTGGAGCCTTCAAGATCAACCTACCACCTGCATTGAGAACTCTCATCATCTTGTCTTCGATCGACACCTTATAGTTCTTTTTGACTAGCTGTCCTATACTAAGCAAATTACTCTTCATGCCTGGTATATACAACACATTGGAAATTCTTGACCTCTTGCCATCTTTCCTCATAATCAAAACATCGCCAATACCTTCAGCTGCTAGAGTATGACCATTTATAAATTTCACCATGTTCTTCGACGAAGGCGTCGTGTCGATAAACCAATCTTTCCTTCCAGTCATGTGTGATGAACATCCTAAGTCCAAGTACCACTGGTCCTAGAATCACTCTTCGTCTCTTGTTGTTACCATTAGCAACATCTCTTATTCTTTATGCTTCACCATCTTTGCATCAGTTTCTTAATTCTTCTTCTTTTCTTGACATTCTCTAAAATAGTGACCATACTTCTGACAATTGAAACACTGAATGTGACTTTTGTCAGGCTTTCGTTCACCACTTCTTCCTCTACCTGCAGTACCACCTCTTTGGTTTCCTTGGTTCCAGGGTTTTCTTTGATTAGACTAGTTTCCTTCCTGCTGATTTTAACTAGTCGAATTATTGTAGTCTCCTCTACCTTTGTTGCCATTCCAACTTCCTTTGCCTTTCCTTTCATTTTCTGGCTTCCCTTGCAAATTCATATCACTTTTCGACTTTCCTGCAGCTCTCTCAGCCATCCTTTGTTCATGAGACTCAAGCGTCTCTTGAAGCTCTTCCTTCTTCAATGTCGACAAGTCTTTCGACTCTTCTATGCCTACTACCACGTGGTCGAACTTTGGAGCCAACGACCTCAAGATCTTTGCAACAACTGATCTTGATGTTAACACTTCTCCATATATCTTGATTTGATTCACCAACTTTGTAACTCTAGTGAAGAAATCTGCTATACTTTCACTTTCTTCCATCTGAAGTAATTCATAAGTTCTCTTGTGAGTTTATAACCTCACCTCTTTCACCTTTACTGT